ACTGCAGAACAACGTTAAGCATCCATCGTCTTCTGGTGAGATCAGCCTTCGAATCTCTTCATAAGACACGCTTTCATACAAAATCAAATTCTCGCCAACAATAAAAGTGGTTTGATCCGGTTGTCGTTACTTGTTAGTGCTTTCAGGACGACCTCAATGAAGAAAATTTGTACCTTTGACAACCTGTAGATTGGTTCTGAGACTGGAAAATCTCACTGGCGATGTCGGTGAAGCGTCTGGGAATGTATAAAGTCAACAGTTGGACACTGGCAGCTATTATAATTACGGACTATGGATGGGGTGCATTTATCCTGGGTCGCCGGGACAACACTACCCAATTGCGAAAATGAAGACAAGCTACTTCCGATTCAGTGAAGTTACAGACCTTCCTTTGGAGGATAGGGCTCACGAGGCAGCTCTTATGATACCTACTCGGAAATCATTTACGTAACTCTTGATGAGGCATGCCGTCTTTGAACGGCTTCTGCGATTTGGTAAAGCCGTCCAAAGCCACTTTTTACTCTGTGTTTAGCTAAAAACGAGAGTATTATATAGTATAAGCGAAGAAAAGTTAGAATATATGAAGTCCAGGATGTTGTGGCCTCTGTTATGGTCGAAGTCTCTCTTCGATTTGCCACAAAAGGGCGCACATTTTGACGAGTGGAATATAAACATGTCGGAAGTTGTGATAGGGCAGCAGTGGGATAAGATGGTAAAGAGTAGATAGATAGACACTGACAAAAAGAGGAGTGATAGTGTAACCGTTTTCGGCAGAACGTGTTGTCGAGGGATTTACTTCACTTGTCTCTTAGACGAGTTCGTAGCTCGGTGAAGAGTAAAACTGTACCAAGTTCACTGTCAGATGCCGGGAATCATGACGATTTCGGACTAGGTGCGTTCTACATAGTCGCCCTGGCAACAAGACCAAGTTGCGACAACGAGGTCAACCCATTTCGAAGAAAAGTTAGGTTTCGAGGACTATCTTATTTTTCATAATTGCTGAGCTTACTTCCATTTCGAGTGAAAGTGTTTGGCGAAGAGAATCGAAAGTCA